ATCTCATGGGACTGCGAAACTTTGATCGAGTGGAGTCGGCACTGCATTCAGAGTTGGAAGCACTGCGATGGGCAATGGAGAATATGCTTCAACATTCGCCATGTCAGAGCTTTGGAACTGATTGCAAGGAGTTGGTAGAGATGCTCAAGAATCCTCACGGATGGCCTAATTTCTCAACAGAGCTGGAAAAATTGGAGACGCGAATATGGATTATCTGTTCTGGAGGAAAAACGCGATAATGGAACCAGAATTAGACAGGGATCCTTATCCTTGGTTAATATGGTACATTTGGAAGGCTAGGAATGACAAACTCTTTAGAGGTATTGAAAGGGACCCATTGGAGGTAGCACGATATGCTGAGAGTGAATGTCAGGCATGGTTTAAAGCAAATGAGAAGGAATGTCTGCAATCCACAGTGAGGGGAATTAATGAGGACCAAATCTTAAGTTTGGGGAATATATGCATGGTAGATGGGTCTTGGACTTCTACAAATAGCTTCAGTGGGTGTGGATGGGTGTTGTTTGATAATCCTGGTAATATTGATCTCATGGGACTGCGGAACTTTGATCGAGTGGAGTCGGCGCTGCATTCAGAGTTGGAAGCACTGCGATGGGCAATGGAGAATATGCTTCAACATTCGCCATGTCAGAGCTTTGGGACTGATTGCAAGGAGTTGGTAGAGATGCTCAAGAATCCTCATGGGTGGCCTAATTTCTCAACAGAGCTGGAAAGATTGGAGACCTTGAAGATCTGTTTTCCTGAATTTAAGATTTGTTATGTCCNCTGCATTCAGAGTTGGAAGCACTGCGATGGGCAATGGAGAATATGCTTCAACATTCGCCATGTCAGAGCTTTGGGACTGATTGCAAGGAGTTGGTAGAGATGCTCAAGAATCCTCATGGGTGGCCTAATTTCTCAACAGAGCTGGAAAGATTGGAGACCTTGAAGATCTGTTTTCCTGAATTTAAGATTTGTTATGTCCCTAGAGCACAGAACAGTGTTTCTGATTCTCTAGCGAAGACAGCTAGGTCGTTTTATCGTAAGCTTGTGTATGTTGGTTGCTCTATTCCGGTCTGGCTTCCCAGACCACCTCAAGTGCCTTGAGTAATAGATCAGCCGTTTGATGTCAAAAAAAAAAATAAGTTTCCTAATTAGATACAAATTGTTAAATGTCATTAAGCAATGTAATCAATATGATATCAAGAGTA